GGCGAAAAACTGCGCAGAACTACACTTTGCCAAAGAGAAATTTACATAGCTACATGCTTGCGCATATCCATACATTCACGTGTGTGTGTGTGTGCTATCAAATGTACCACTTAATTGTTATGCAGCAGATAGTTTGTTGAATAACTGCAGGCAAGTCGGAATTTTTATAAACGAAGAAATTTATATGCCAAAAATTTTATTTTTTCTCTGCCAAAAGGAAGCGAGTACACCGCAACGGCATATAAATATGTACGTAGCGTGCAATAACCATATGTTGGTGGAATTGCACTGAAATATGCAATGAAATGAAGTTTATTGAATGTAAGCAGAGAGTCTACAGCAAACAATATGGCAGGCTCTTCATGTGCTCTTACTTGGTTAGTGTGCCTAGAGGTTACTGTATCTGCCTGTGCATGCAAATGTGTAGACATTTTAGAAAATTTAATTGCCGTGTATAGTTTTGAATTGTATTAAATTTCTTAAAAGCGCTTTAGAATTTTGTTTTTCAATAAGAGAGTTAGAAATTTTGGAATTCGGTTAAGAATTACACGTGTTGTACAAATACAAATAACAGGAGATTGACTTTCTACGACTGAGTCCAGACATCTTAAAAAATATTAAAGAATTCCAGTTAAATGTTAGTAAAGACTGTCTACCATACTTGCCAATTAACGTTAGATGAGATTACTACTCTCTCAACAATTAACCGGTCTTCGCTCTATTAAGGAGTTGTATACAGTGAAAAGGCCGAAAAATTCGAATTTTCCAGAATTTTTTCCGGAGAAATTTTATAAATTAATTCATCCAAAAATGTGCACACATATGGCACCTATTTAATGTATTTTAAGAATTGCTGTTCGTAAAAATATTTATTTACAAAGGAACTACAGCTGATCTCGGGGAGCTGCTCCTAAAAGAGCCGTTTTGCAGTGACCACCATATCTCTGAATTGGATCCTCTAGTAATTATTCAAAAGAATAAGCAAAATAAAATTTGGTTGTTGTCCACACTGTAAATTTGGCTGTATTTAGCTCTACCGGTTGTTGTCCGAGCTGTAAATTCGGTTGTGCGCATTGATAAAACAGCAATCAGTTTTTTACTTCATCGACGCTTTCCAAATCGACTGCTGATGTCTACGAACTAAACTCCCGATTTTGCCAAACTTTAATTCGTTTACTCTTTTGTCCTCTTTACCTCAACAGTGCTTCAGAAATCAATCTAGCCTCTTTTGGCCCCTTTACCTCAAGAACACTTTTCAAATTGACTATTGATATACGTCCAGCCTGTAACATTGAGAATAATGCAACGATATCATGAAAGATAGTATTGTTTTTCTAAAAATATTGTTGTTGTTGCATGCTTAAATTTTCCGCTCCCCTATTTATAGCGCTACCAAGTATTATATTAATGAAGTCTGAAGCAAGTTTTGGTCTCTTGTTGAATTTTTGGGAGCATATATACAACGTTTCACGCTGCCATACCATATATGGTCCAAGTGAAAGCCTCCAACTTGGCTGCAAGTCGAGTGATGCTATAAACTCTATATTAAAACAAGTTGGTGTCTACATTTTCTCAAACAATTCTAGACTATCTCTCACTCCGGGCGCCATATTCTGTCAATAATATCACCCCACTTACTTGTGCTTGTGCAAAGCGTAAGTGTTGGGGGGAAAAGGTCTTACTTGTATCCAGGTTAGGTTATATCAGATTAAGCAGGTAGGCCAATGAGCCGAGTTCAGTTACTACGTCCATGAGGAGCAGTCATACTTTAGAATACTTGCGCCTAAAAYGAATTTGAACAAACTCTGTGGCCTTACTATGGATACCTACTTGTATCCAACTGCGTATCTAATATCCACTGTCGCCAGAGCTCTCTAAGGGAATATGATGAATATATGCTTAATATTTGCCTCACTCCATGCTCAGCCACTCATAACTGCGCAATAAATTTGCAAAAGCATCGAAATCTATACAATTTGTGGTACCATGTGCTCATTGCAGTATTGATTACTAACATGTTTTGGAGGAGGCAGCACTGCAGAACTAACCAAGCTTTTATGTAGTCGTAGTTCGGATACGCTTGCCAATTGCGATAAACTGGAACAACAGACGACGCAAAGCACAAGAACAATAATAATATTTGTATAGAAAATCATATCATATCGATATTAGTGCCTTCATATATATATATATTTATGTATCCTTTAGTGTGTATGCTTGTCGGAAAATACACCTATGAAATTATGCTAAAACAACAAATCGAATTGCGCCAACAATACAGAGCTCATACATATGAAGGCAATCTATAAAGTGGGCCTACAGACCTTTGTTGAAAGGAGTGGGAGTGGGAGCGTAGCAATGTCACACCACTATAAAGGCGCCCAGCGTTTGGAGCGGAAATTGATTGAACTCGTGCATATAGGAAGATGCTAGCAGTGGTATAAATTTATAAAATAACAGTGTTCTATGACAATGAAATATTTTGCATAAATAAAGCCACACACACACACACATCCAACTACTTACACATAACGTAACTGTTTATTTGTATATTTAAACATATTTCCAGAACACTGCAAACAGCAGGGTTCCAGGATAGCGCTTTTATAGTYTGGCTTCTTCTCTCGTTGTGGCACAAACATAGATACATATACATATACTGTGTGTAAGTGTGAGTAGCACAAAGCACATTATAACATATGCCAATAACTTATGGCGAATGCAAACTATTTTCTTGGATAGATTTCAATAGTGAGATTAAAATTGTGTAGACGCCGCAGGACAGCAACATCGGTTGCAAAAACAAATATACGCACCACACATGTGTTGTTGTACACAGAAACTCTTGTAAAGGAGTTTAAAAGTTCGTATGCGTACTTTTGTAGCACACATTTTTAACGGGTGATTTGAGTGGAATATTTTTTTAGCTTCACTTGAGGTGCCCACTTTCACGCTTTTTCTTAAAATTTTTAAATTTCCGTACACAATTCTTAAAAATTTCCACTGTAAGCCTAAAGGTAGGCAACAATTTTTGTTGCGAGTAAATATTTCCGTTACCAAGCTCCTAAATATAAGTAACATATTAGTAGTATAACAATAATTGTTACACTCGAAGTCCACAGATATGAAGTTCTTTATAAAACTACTATCTTTCCATAAATAAATCTGAAATATTTTAATTTTAAGCCCAAAGGTAGGCAACACTTATTCTGCTTAACATATTTTTCCGTTATTATGATTCATAGTATAAGCAAATGAGTAATTTTGATTTAAATCTCTGAACTGAACTCTTAGAAATGTTCACTTCAAGCGTAAATGTAGGCAACACTTWTTATTTTAAACAAGGTTTTCCATTACTGAAACTCACAATATAAGTAAATTACTAATTTTGATTTAAAGTTCTTTGTAAAATTTTTGCTCTTCACTACACAGCTMTAAAAATTTTAACTACAAGCCTAAATGTAGGCAAAACTTTAAGCAAGTTTTTGGAACACTATTGCAGTCTTTGGTTGCGCTAATTATAGCTAGACATTCTCTGCTTCAAAAGAAATATTTTTCCAAGTTATTGTAAGTTTCTTCCTTCACTTGCCCCAACACAGCACCCGCTTTTAACCATCATATATGGTTGGAAAATAATACTTTACCATAATTGCAGACATTGCCTCGCACAGGGTAAATGAACATAAATTCCAACGACTTCCTGTACTCTTCTCCCTATCTAATGTCAGTCCGTATTTTGTTGCTGTTGTTTGTTATTTATATTTCAGCATATTGACAATATGAGGTGTGTTAGTTCGCTAAAAGCTTAAGGCGCGCCAAACGGACTTTCTTGGCAGCGTAGCTTTGCCTGTCAGCCAGGCAAGTAGACAAAGTCAAGCATTTTGTAATCAGTAGCTAGTCAGGCATTTAAAATAATTTGTAGTTTATTACAAAAAGTCCTTTGTTCGTTGGCAATATTGCGTTGCTGAAAGATTTATAAGTGCTTTGTGCTTATGCACCCTACTCCTTTATATAATATTAATTTCATAAGCGAATTCAATTTAAAAATTTGGTCATAAATCGATTCTGATTGCTTCGACGCAGATATCATGAAAATGGGTCTGGAAAGTGGTAAATAAAACTATATTTTCCCCTTTTTTTCACGAGCTTACAAGCTATAGCGTCAAGCTACTTCCTTATTAAACTTGTCTGAGTGCTTGGCTACAAGGGAATAGTCGGAAACTATAAAGCCGATGTACTTACACTCCTAACCCAAATACTTCCTCCACTGTCCAGCTTTTGCCAGATTTAGTTCGGATCATCGCGATTACCATGCTTTGTACGAATCTGGCGAATTGTTTGGAAGCCATCTCAATCAGTTTTCGGCAGACGTTTTGTCGATATGCCACCTTCTTCGTGATCCAAACCTACGAGTTCTGGGCATCACAATGGACTGAAGGAATTACTCATGGCTTCACGATAAATCACCCCTTTTATCTAACATATTCTAACCAAGTTCTTACGGAAATTTTCCATTTCACGTATGCTTTTATCTAGCTACGTAGATTCCGCGTACCCTTAACAAGTGTCGGTCGAAGACAAAGTAGAATACGAGATCCTACGAAGTGCTTGTCTTTAGCAAAGTTCGTCTTACCGCTTTGTAAAAGCTCTCACTGTACATTGTCCAATAGGCATTMATGTTGTAAGATTAAAAGCTTCAGTCGGTCGCAAACTTTACAATACGTATGGAAAGAGCCCAGACTGATATTAGCCGCTTCAACAATTTTGTGATCGGCTCAAAGCGTTTCRTCTTTATGATCCATTTTATAGAAGTTCTTGGTAACACAATGACCAGCAATATRAGAAGCTGTCCAAATAAGAGCCCTGTTTGGAACGACCATTTAACCAAACCTACCCCAAACCCTTAAAATCACAAAATTGTAATATTTCAAAACATAATTTAGTTATTTGGATGATTTCACAACATTTTCTCATAATATATCTGCTTTTATATTTTRCAGCAACGCAAACAAAACTACTGCTCTTAACACAGAAAGATGGTTGACAACACTACTACTGAGTAACGCTCCGAACACATAGAGCGCGACAGACTGCAAGCGACATCTGTCARATTTAAAATACARACGTTCTTAARGACATAGTTATTGAGACAAGTGCACAACTACATAACTGTGTTCATAACAAKGTGWGTATTTTAATATTTGGCAGATGTCGCATGSTTTTTGTCGCGCTATCTGTGTTCTGTGTGTTCAGCACATAAGWCGTGCTCTTTAGTTCGCAATATGCGCTGGCCGCTCTTTGCTCTCTGCTGCCTTGGTGAAGMTGCTGCGCAACTAGACAAGTTGTAGTCGTGTCGCGAGCGTTATGTCAACGCACAAAAGAGATTTAAGTAAAAGAGCAACATAAATCGGAAGCGGAGTGTATGGGAAACGGAAATGAACTACATAAGCGAACTCTAACGCACAAGAGGAGCGGAAATGAATTTGCTGAAACACTTAAAATCAAAACGGGGTAATTAGTAGTGAGTAATTAGGAGCAACACAAGCAATGGGCTTATATTKGTAAGTATTTCCAATAAAATAACTAGTCGTTAATTGCTAAACAATATTGAGCAGACATAAACTTTTTGGAAAATTTGTCAGAAGTGATTAAATTTCTTTAGACAATGAAATGCTTTTTGTTAAAAATAGAGGTGATAATTTATAAAAGCCTGAACTTATATAATTGACTTGAAATTAAAAACGGAAAACTTTATAGTGAAATGAGAGTAGATTTGTGTYGGTTTTGTTCGGTTTAAAATGTGACGTAGTTTTTCGCACAGCATTCGCTGGACATTTGAGAGAGCAGAGCATAACTGCAAACCGTTCAAAACAGAAATTGTGGGTTGTGTGTAAGGAAATAAAAGGACGAAGTAATTGAGATATCAAAGTTAACAATATGTGAGCATAAATTTGTATATATGTATGGATGTATATTTTCAAAAACTGAGTAAGTGAAAGCGATACGCTGAAGCTATCAATTATAGTTTTAATGYTCTATAAAAGATTATATAAGCGCAATGCTAAGACAAAGTAAGAAATAAACATAAAATTAGATATAAAAACGAMTTTTTAAAATAAAACTCCTCGCAAATTCCAAGACTTTGAGGAAAAAGTGAAAAACATGTTAATTGCTTATTAAACCTTTAATGCATTTCTGTTTGCGATATAGATTGATCGGTTTGGTTCGCGTTTGAGATCGATCGGTTCGGTTCGCGTTTGAGATTGATCGGTTCGGTTCGCGTTTGAGATTGATCGGTTTGGTTCGCGTTTGAGATCGATCGGTTCGGTTCACAATTGAGATTGATCGGTTTGGTTCGCGTTTGAGACTGATCGGTTCGGTTCACAATTGCGATTGATCGGTTCGGTTCGCGGTTGAGACTGATCGGCTCGGTTCGCGAGTGTGTAAAGTTCGCGTGTATGCAAAAGGCAAGTGCTGTCCAGTGTTGTTAGTTTCATAAAAGCGAAGTGCTTACAGAAAATGTAAAAAAGTAGTGAAATCAATTATTTTATAAAAAAAAATCTAAGTGTATCTAAAAATGTGTCCTTTAAAAATAAAAATTAAGTTTTAATGGCAAATAATGCAAGTTGAAATAATGTGTTTTCAAGAATAAAAGAGGCTTAGCCCAAATATAGTCCGTTTCGTTTCATACGTATAATAATCGGTATACCGTGCGTTCTCGTTCTATAAAAAATTACAGTCCCAAAAAAAAAAAACCATGGAGAAGGCTTCAACTTCAAATCGTTTAACGGTAAGTCATTTTTAATTTTTCTTATGATATATATATACCATATATTAAATATGTTTTACCAGATATATCCATATATATAATTCGATATGACAACTCTTTTAAAAAGCCGTAGAGAAAATTAAAGCATTTCCTTCAGTATGGCCTTCAAACTATTTGACATTATGATATGATAATCACTTTTGGGTAYGGACTTCAGCCCCTTTATCGAATTTGGTATTATACCTTCGATCGACTGAAAATGGGTTTCATTTAGATGATTGTTGACTTGTTTGCATTTCAAACTCATAAACCTGTCTCACTGGCAGTTATAATGCTCTCCATGAATGTGGGATCCTAAGTGGCAAGATCAAGCACGGCCAAAGAAGCCTGTTTACGTTTCCCTTTTTAAAAAATATTCAACTTTATCTGGAAGAGTCGCGCAAGAACGCGTTTCATATCCAAAATATCCACCAAAATCATTTGAACAGACGCGCGAGAGTAGTTGAGCTATTTTTTCATCTTTCTAACCCTTGCCTGACCATTTTCAAGCACCATATCCTTCACTTTTTAATATTTTCATCAGTTGAAGAGGTGAAAGGTCGTCCAGACCGAGCCAGGTCTTCAACGATCTCCGTAAGCCTTGGAACGGTACTTACAACTTAGCAAAATACACAGTTTTGAAATATCATTTACCCGAAGAATTAAATTTCATATTTTGGCTGCCTTTTTGGCACAGTGTTTCATATAATATCATAAATATCCTCAACAGTATTGCAATATCAGCTTCCCAATATTAATGTAAATGTGTATGACAAGCAATTTGAAATCGACCAGTTATTATATGTGGCACACACTAGACTGGCCAACCAAAGCAAATGCTCGAACTAAATTTACACAAACAGAAATTTTATTATTAAACTTCTCCAATTACATAATAGAAAATAGTTAACACACACACACACACGCATACCATAACAATTGGAAATCATGCAAACTCGTGCAGAACAAATACATAAACTCGATTGAAATTTTTGCTTTTTCATTGGCATTTTTCCTGAGGAATTTTGCTGAGACTCATCTTTTCGTTTAGGCAAATGCCAGCTAGACAGRAGTGTGGCACTAATTTGTGTGCCARCAAGCAAATTATTTATTTTATTCGGTTTCTACTTTTTGTCTTACGGTTATAAGCGCAGCCTGTGTTGTTGTTGCTGCTGGCAGATAACTTGCWTAGCAAATTGCTGCTTCAATTCAATTGATTTACTAATGTTTAACAATCATTAACATAAATCGCTGGAAATCAGTTATTTGCAGAGCACCACACAAACACCAACACACACACACTCACACTCACACGATAGTCTAACCTAAGAGCAAACAGAAATAAAAATAGAAACCATTACCAACTCAAATACACGAAAATTTGCGCACACACATACCAACGCACGCATGAGTGCGGCAAGCAAATAAGTGCGTGGTACGGCGGAAAATGGCAAAAGTTTAGCACAGCACAGCATAGCATAGCATGGTATAGAAAGTAAATATAAAGCAAAGCGAAAAAGAAAACAGCATTTTGCTTTATTGCCAAGTAAGTTTGGTATTTTTGCATGAAATACATAAAATTTGCCTAARTTAGTGATTAAATAGCAGAAATTGTCTGTGTATTAACATGGAAAAGTTTTCGAAATTTTACCGGAAGTGGAAAATTTTCGTAGTTGTAGCGGAAAATATGTAATGTAGTGGAAGTGAATTTTTTTCTCGACTTAAATTTGGTGCTCGGTTGTTAAAAGAAGATTTTTAGTGTGAGTAGTTTAACTTGTATTTCCTAGGTATGCTCCAGCGAGCTGCTATGGTGCAAAACTTGAAAATTAAAAACAAAAATTGTAAACAGAGTTCAGGCAGAGAATTCTAACCGGTCTTTGATSAATAAAATTGAAGTGGTGAGGCTTAAAACTTTCTAGATGCCCATATTATAGTTTGTTTGGAACCAAGTCGTGCCATATCGCKAAAATCCGTTATTTATATATCTAAACTGAAAATACTCCGTGTCTCGTATTTCACATATTCGTACGAAATAGAATCGACAGCAACYGCCTTTACAGATCTTGGAGAGTCTATAGGCACTATCTGTAAATATAAAGGTTTACGTCTATCTTTAGTAGGTTTGGCTCTACARAATACTTATCTAGGTCTGCTAATATTATTTTCTCAAGATCTGATCTAATCTACTATTAAAACAAAATAATAATAATAACTTGTCATAAACTCAAAAACTCTTYACAATAWTTTTTTATCGTTCAGTTWGTATACCAGCTTATATACCAAAGTGGTGCAACATACTACATAAAGAATGTRTACAAAGTTGACACTAAATTTCAGCCAGTACGAAAAAGCAATGTGCAAAACTCGATTAATTTATATTTTAACATACTTTTGGCCACCCTGTAATGAATTTCAAATCACTCACATTCCTGTGATTCTAAATTATTAAAATTTGCCCATTTAAGTTGCTCGCCAACTCTATATTTCTTATCAATTAAGCTGCCATTAATATTAACTGAATCGTACCCACATTAATTGCCTTCAAAGGGGCGAATGGAGATAGAACTAACATTTTTCTTTAGATACAGAGTTATACACAACGCTGTCAATATTCGCGCAACATCATCGACAGACAAACTTCCAGCGGCGTCACGACTGAAATGGCTTAATGATAATTATAAGTTTGTTTGTTTGTTATTTTGTTTGCTTTGGCAAATTTGCACAACTATGTAACTAAAGTGGCGCACAAATTTGCTTATATCTGTATTCATAGAGGCTATATTTAGCGACATAATATTATWTATTTTATTGCATATTGAATTTTGGCTAAAATATGGCTTTCTGCCTCAATGCTGGCATTTTTAATAGCAAATTGCTGCCACACGCACAGTTACGCGCCATAGTCGACGCACACTTTTAGGCGCTAAAACTTTGTTTGCTTGCTATGGCAGCAGCACTTGCAGCTTATGCTTGTTTGTGTTTGTTTGTGTTGTGGCAAGTTATCATTCGCGMTATTTTCGTATTAGTTACAAAACATTTTCGAGCGCTTATAAGTTGGTCCTCCATAAGTGATACACATACATCTAGGGCAGATACTGTATGGCAATGGCCCAAACTGCCACTCAAAGTGAAATTAGAAACTTAACCAGTTCTTATGTGCTTACCAATACCGCGCTTGTTGAGACGCACCRCAAATTTGTAAGTAAAATTTCCACAACTTGGTTTGTCTGAACTATCAATGTGTATGTCTGTGTGTTTGTGCGCACGGTAGTTTGAATATCAACTTGAGCGCAACAATTTATGCCACTTCACGCTGCTCTCCTGTTTGCCGCCCACACCTGTTCT